TTGAAATCGTGTCTAAGCCTTGTGCCTAGGGGTCCTTGAACAAGTGGATCCATCAACTCCATTGAAGCGAGAAAGCCACTTTGGGAGGCCCAGAAAAAGAAAAAAAGAAACAAAAGCAACAACATGGCTTCGACACCCTGCCTATAGTCCTATGTTTTATTTCCTGGGCATCAATGATTTGCCTCTACAAGTTGTAGCCCTGAGAGCACGAAAACGGCGATCGCAGGCCACCGCTTTTCTGTGAACTCGTTGAAGGTTTCGAGTTCTGGGCGTCTATGGGTTGAGTTTAGGGATGCAATCCTTGCAGGTCTGAGGTTTAAGAACCTCAAACTAGAACGTAGGTATGGAAAAAGCCTCTTAGCGCCACACGAACCTCTTTCAACAGGCAATTCCTGTGAAATGAATTGCAAGAGCCCAAGTCTGACCGCCACTTAGGGTGTTTGGAAGCACTGGCTGACCCACGCCGGTGCCAAGATGCCGCCTTCCATTAGCTAGAAACATGTGCCAGTTCTTGTTTTCGCCTCCTAAACATAAACACGGAACCTGCACAAAAAATCCCTGAAAACGAAGATTGTCTTCCACATAAACACGGAACCCGCGCAAAAAATCCCCTGAAAACGAAGTTGTCTTGCAGGGGGCCTAGCAACAATCCGTTGCCGTAACACATGTCCCACAACGAAGAATTGGGCGCACTGCGTCATCTTGGCGCCCCTCCCAAAGAATTGAGGGGGGAGGGGAAGAAATTAGGACGTCCTCTTTAAGAATTCCTGAGGTCTAGTACAAGTAAAGGATTTCTGACGGCTCGAGTTTGCATTGAAAACCCCAAACAAGTTTCTTAGAGCAAATCGCCCATGACCTGAAAAAGTCGGCCCCAAAGTCTTCAGGGCGGCCGCTCTGGTTCTGCGGGAACCAGTCTCTCTCTGAGAACAGACATCAGTTTTAGTCATAAGATCCTTGGTGGTTCCCAGCAATGCCAGCTTGTAGCTTTTCAGGGTTTAGCGGTTGGAACAACACTGAAAGCGAGTCACTTCTAGCAGGCAATCCCAGGAGGGGCTTTGTAGGATTGAGGCTGGATTGAGACATGTGAAATCGCACTTCATTGTTCTTGGCATGTTGTTTTCTGTTTTTGGATGTTTGGTTCGGTTCATTTTTGCAGGGGCTGCAAAAAAGCAACGTCTTTTTTTGCCTGCCATACCAAGAGTTGTAGAGTGCAGGTTCAGTCTTAGGATTGGTCCAAGTCTTGCCGCCTGTGGCATGGGCCCCTCAACTTTTCCCTGCTGGACCTCCAAAGGTGGCCGCCTCTCCTTTTCTAGGTCCTCCAATAGAGAGGTTAGAAGAAGGATACCAACTTGTTTCTGTAGTCGAAATTTTAGTAAGGGAACTCTCCCAACCAAAAAAGGGCGAGAAAGGGCACCAAGCTGGGGGACCTAGTTTAAGTGGAGCCCACCGTCAGGGGAAGGATCTCCGGCTGTCACGAAGTCCCTTTGGGCGTTAAAGGGGGTGGGGGTCAAAAAAGGGCGGGCGCCCTGATACATGGAACAGGACTAAAGCTCCTGCGGTCCATATCCTGGCCACAATTTTTTGGACCCATAATGCTAACCCCGGAAACCGGAAGGTATTTCTCCGGGGCCAGCAGTACCCAGCCAGCACCCAGGGCAATGGTTCTTCGCGCGCCCGAATCCCCCAAACGCGCTGCCCTGAAAGGAAGCCACTTCAAGGGTGCTGCATGTGGCTCTGCAAACCTCCTAACTTGGTTGCTGTTAACCCCTATGTAAAAAGTGAATCACTTTTTGCGGGTTTAGTGGAAAACCCCAAATGATATCCCCAAAAGTTACAGTCTAAAGATCCAACCACTAGCAGTCAAGCGAAATCGTCGGGTGCTGCATGTGGAGACCCGTTTTTTGAGGAACCCAAGCTTTTCCCCTCAGGAGCACCTAGCTGGGGGACCTACCCCGTGGAAAAAAAACTCCGTTTGCAGGCCCCGGAAAGGAACGTCAAATGGATCGATCGACCTGCCTCTGCAAGGCCAGCAGCACCGACTCCACCTGGCTTGGCCCGTCAAATGGATGGCGGAGAAGTTCGTCGGGACCCTTTAAAAACCGAAAATTTCGGAGTTTGGCTGGTGACCCACCATGAGAACTGGGATGTGCAAGAGATACGAGCCTCACGAGTCATTTTTCTTCGGGCAATTACCCTTTTGGGACCAAGGGAACCATGCTGTAAAGCCAGTGGAAATGGTGAAGGAGTATCTTCTAGACCAACTTGCTCAACCAAAAGGGTTGTGACATAGAACCCGAAATGGCGGCCTTTGAGGTTCCAACTCCTGAAATCTGGGTTCTTCCGAATCCATCCCTGTTCAACCTCAAGGGGGACACAAGCCTGAATCCTTTCGTATCCGGTTGGGTAAGGACCCTGCTGATAGCCTAACTGAATCATCGAAAATTCTGGAACATATGGGTGTGTCAAAAATCGTGGAGAACAACATGACAGGGGTATGTGTCAAAATTGGGGCCCCCCCAAACTGGTGTGCTTCCTTCTGGCGTTCCTTGCAAACCTGAAAGAAAAGTTGGCACCCAAAAAAGACATGCATGTGTTTCCAAGCCACCCAAAAAGGGGGAACCCTCAAAACGCAAAAATACAAACAAACACACCCTTCGAAAGGTCTCCTTTTGGTGTCCCTTTACAACACTCCCCCTTGCGACTGGAGCCATCCCCCCCGGCTACGCGTTGCCGCCCGGCGGCCTTGGGCCATCTCGCTTCCACCTGGGAGACTGTGGGCCTGACTCGTGGGGACTTTTTCTTCTGGGAAGCGAGACTTGTTGCGTTTCCGGATGCCCATCCACCAACACGGAAGCTGACGTTTCGGGGTCCTGGAAAACGAATCTGGTATTTTTCAGATATATTGGAACCCGACTTTCTTCGGGGTCCTGGTTCGAACGGATGTTTTTTTGAGTATTTTGCAACAACATGTTTGCCATGGAACCCCAAGCCTCCGTTTTTGTCATGGCTCCCTCAACAACAACAAGCAATCGAAATGGGTATCAAGGATGATGACCATCCCAAGCAAAGGTTCCTGTTCATCGCCAGCCGGGGCTCACCTCTGGCCACAAATGCAGGTATTAACGTAGAATTTCCTGATGCTTGAAATACCCGGAGCGGCCTACATGGAACCCAAGCCTGCCTGCTGAACGGGGCATTTTTCCTGGCCTTCTTTAGGAGTTGGACCCCCTTTTCAAAATGGCGCAACAGTTTCCCTCTTGGTTTCCCCTTTCACGCCCCACAAGGTGCCAGCAGAAAAAGAAAAACCGGCCCGATATGTGGCTTGGAGGTACGCTTGTCTACCAATACAAGCTGGCAAGGCAATTTGTAGCCCTAGCGGTAACCTCCATGGCTCCAACATGTCTACCTGAACATGCCGTTCTGCAGCTGAAATTTAGGAACACGTTTCTGGGTAGCTCCTTTGTTGAAAGCCCCTGTCCGTGGGGGTAAAGAACCTAAGTGAGCACTGGGAAGGCCCCTATGATGAGTCACTAAACATGGGTTTTAAAAGAATCCGAGTCTAATTCTTGAGGCCGTTACATTCGCTAAGTTTGAAGGAACGCCTCCTCCACAAGAAAGATTGTTCTAAAAAGGCCGCCCGAATGTGAAGTTTTGTCTCACAGGGCAATCCTCAAAACTAGTGGTTTACCAAAAAGGGCACACTCAAAAACGGCATACCAATTTCTGAATGAGTTGCCATAGTTCACCGCCCCTCTGGGAAACAATAACTCGGTTGCTTTCTGCTCCCCTGCTAAAGATATATAACTTTTAGTGGTTTAATACGGAAAACCCATTAGTTGGCAACAAGTTCAAGTCCTAACATCCCTTGGCAAAATGCACCAAAAATAAGTCAAATGGGCGTTTATCAATGGATCAGTCTAGGTCCTCCAGTAGAGAGGCTAGAATAAGTTTCAGAATAAGGGTACCCTTTTGGCCCGAATCTCTCTTTTTCTTTTGCGGGCCGGTTCCTGCGTTTGCAGAATGTGTGTCTGCTGTTTAAAGGGAATCCTTCCTGGGTGGCTTTCAATGGAAGCCAAAAGAAAACTAATCACTTTTAAGCGTTCCCTATCTTGAGACGTGTATATATATATATATATGTATATTAAGTAAATGGGCCTGCTTGAACTGTATTGCGTCTTTGAACCACTGGCAGCTTCTTTGTGACAACCCTTCTTGGGCGAGCGAAGACCACTATGAAGCCTGCAGTTGCGTGCACCGGCGGCCATATGATCTGGTCTTGGTGATGTGGGTCTTCCGTTTTTTTCTCAGTTGTCTTGCTCTCAACCATCGCGTCCTTCAAATCCCGGAACGCATTGCCGTCGGGCTCGTGTTGCAAAGGCCCAACACAGTACTCAGAAAATTGCGGAACTTGGTCTGCAAGGAGTTGCTTCTTTAGGTTGGCTGATGCTGCTCTGACAAGTGCGAGCAGTAAACCTTGCTGCATCCAGCAAATGACAACATCAACAGGAGTGAAGAAACTGCTTAGCTTTGCAACAAGGCCAACTGACTGACCGACCAGCCACCCAGCCAGCTTCCAACCGATCTCACACATACATACCTACCAACCTAAAATCCCTACCAACCCAACCCAGAAACCTACTTACTAGCCAAACCAGCCAACAGATTGACAAATAAACAGTGACAAAGGAACATGCAAGCAAGCGAAGCCGCCAAGCCAGCCAAGCCAGCCAGCCAAGCCAGCCAAGCCAGCCAGCCAAGCCAGCCAAGCCAGCCAGCAAAGCCAGCAAAGCCAGCAAAGCCAGCAAAGCAAGCAAAGCAAGCAAAGCAAAGCAAGCAAAGCAAGCAAAGCAAGCAAAGCAAGCAAAGCAAGCAAAGCAAGCAAGCAAGCGCACAAACCAACAGGCAAAAAGGCAAGCAGTCAAGGAGGCAAACAGGCAAACAGTCAATTTAGTCAGTTGTTAATTGAGCTTCGTTTTGGTGGGTTGATGTTCGAAGTCACA